CGGCACCAACAAACCCTTTTACAAATGGTCTCCAGCGCTGCCCAAAGGTTCTGTGACGCCAGCGCCTTCCCCTACTGCCTCCCCTTTGCTCTCATGCTCAAAGGACCTTCCTAAACTCAGTCCTACAACGTTACTGACCCTGACCCATAACCAGCAGCTTTGTGTCTTCTGATAAGACGAAGGCAATTGTTTCTCTGAAAAACATCTTTGATACCAATTTTAATATTATTTTACAAAAAGGAGCCACTATCTCGGGCCAGTTTTTCCCACAGATAATAAGAATCAACAAATACACAACTCAAATAGATTTGCAACAAAAGAGACAATTTTAACACTAACCTAATTTTGCCATACAACAAGGACTGTTTCAAGATCTTTACACACATTAACTCACTTGATCCTCACGAAGGTTCTAGGAGGTAGAAGTGACTTTCCCTGTTTTACAGACACTTAAACGAAGGCTTAGAATGATTAAATAACTTGCCCAAAATCCTACAGCAAATAAAGGTCAGAGCTAGGATCAAAACTCGGGTAGGTTAGGGGCTCCTGGGTGGCTCAGTCCGTTAAGCAACGGACCCTTAAGTTTCAGCTCAGATCAAGATCTCACCGTTCTCTTGAGTTTGAGCACTTCATCTCTCTCTCTCTCTCCCCCTCCCCCTCTCTCTCTCTCTGCCCTCCCCCCAACTAGTGCCCGTGCTCACTCACTCTCACTTTCTCTCACTCTCTCTCTTTCTCAAAATGAATAAACAAAAAATAACGTGGGTAAGCTAGGTCCAGAATCTAATTATCATTACTCTTAATCATTATGCTATGTTGCCAGTGAGGATTTGGGTTATCAAATTGTTAAAACTATTTTGACAGGCAGATCAAAGTGGCCAATGATAGAAAAAAGAAAATTGAAATTAATTTTCAGTCTGGTGTCCCTTGCCCTGGGATAAAGTTGTACTTGTTTGCTGGGGGTTTTTTCAGTTTTTATTTTTATTTTTACTTATTTTGAGAGAAAGAGCCAAGCAGAGGAAGGGCAGAGAGAGAGAGAGAGAGAGAGAGAGAGAGAGAGGAAGACAGAAACCCAAGCAGGCTATGCGCTGTCAGCACAGAACCCGATGTGGGGCTTGAACTCAAGATCAAGACCTGAGCCAAAATCAAGAGTTGGATGCTTAACCCAGGCGCCCTTTGTTGTTTGCTGTTTTAAAATGATGTCTGTCTAACACAGATAATCATGAAGTACTTCCTGTATCTCCCAGGAGAGATCCTCCTCTATTATTATAAGAGATCTAAAGTAATATTAGGCAAACAAGCAAATAAGAATAGAGAGTGAAAGAAATTCTATACAGCACTGTAAACCTAGCTCTACTTTTGTGGTGGAACTTAAAAAATGATTCTCACTCAACATGATTAAGGTACAAAACACATGCCATAAGATAAAAAATAATATTTTTTTAGTATTTCAATTCATAAATATAAGGAAACAAAACAATTACTCTATTTTGAAAAGACTCAATTATTGCACTTTACTTGAGTAAAAGACTGGAGAGCATTGATGATGGACCATCTAACCTCTTCTCTCAAGCCACCTAGTGTTGCTTGACCCGAGCTTAGATGTGGCCAACAGGGGGAAGCAACGGACCTGCCCTTGGCATACAATAGATGTTTCCTGAATGTTCTTTAGGCAAGTCAATGCTGCAACAGCTTCCAGAGGGTAAAAGGTAACCCAGATGACTGACCATTCCACGAATTACAGTATATCAGAGCTGGGGAGAGCTTAGGGATCCCAATACACAGCTTTGGAGAGCTGAGGGAGCCCCCAGCTCACCATTCATACTATATGATCCCCACCTTGTAGAGAGAAAGCACTCATGTTTCAGATTCCTGCTCAAAAGATACTTGTTTGAGATGACTAAATCTTTCAGAGTGGTCTTGAGTTAGCCAAACTGAATCTCTAAATCATATTTAAAAACAAATAGAAGGGGTTAACTAGTCCTGGAGAATAAATGAGGCTATGCCACCTGCGTGATCTGTTAGCTGCATCGGAGGCTGTCACCATTCTTTCCTGAGTCATCCCCAATTCTTAAAAACAACAAGGGTATAACGCGAATGTAAAATAGACAAAAAAAGCAACCCTAGCTCCTAATCTATTTCTGTCAGGGAAGACAATGAGCATTCTACTGTAACTCGGCTAGCCTAAAAAAATATCAGACCAGGGGCATCTTGGTGGCTCAGTCAGTTAAGCGTCTGACTTCGGCTCAGGTCATGAGCTCAGTCCATGGGTTCGAGCCCCACATCAGGCTCTGTACTGACAGCTTGAAGCCTGGAGCCTGCTTTGGATTCTGTGTCTCCCTCTCTCTCTGGCCCTCCTCTGCTCTCTCTCTCTCTCTCACAATAAATAGATAGATAGATAGATAGATAGATAGATAGATAGATAGAACTTTTAAAAAACCGTTTAGACTTAGTGCAGCGCACTGGAGGTTATACTAGTCCGCATGTGACTGCTGGATGCCCCCTCTCCCACAAGCAAAATAGTGACTGTTGGTTTTGTTCATCACTCTGCTCACCCACCCTGACCCCATAGTGCCTAGCACACTGTGGGTGCTATTTAAGTACTTTGCAACTGACTGGCTGAATGGCTTTATTTATTTATTTATTTATTTTAATGAATCCATCCTTCATCATGTTCCTTGCCTCTAGGTTAACTTAGTATCTTGAAACTAAACGGAGAGGTTCAGTTGGCTCCATTTTAGGAGGCCTGAAATGCATACATTAGCTTCTACAGAATTTCAGTGTGTGGGCAAGAGATCGCTAGACCTGGACCCACTTAAAAACGGACTTCAAATTTCCCCTTAAAGCTTTCCAGTTTGTTCAGGAAAATCTAAGGGCTTCACTGGGTCTAAGCCAATGATCATCCTGTGATGTCTACTCACCCCACTTTTGCATCCGTGTCCTCTAACGTAACATCTCCTCTCTCTAAAACACATGCACTTACCTGAAACTGAATCTGACTGTGCTTTCATCATCTATAGTCTTGGTTAAAAATCTTCATTCCACTCTGAACGCTTCCCACACAAAGGCAATACTCCAGTGGCTCTGTTCTAGAGATGTTCAGTCCTCAGTATGGAGGCCCGGCCCTGCACCTTGCACTCTTAGGCTTCAAGGGGAAGGTCATAATCTGGGGTCGGCAAGAATGGGAGGATCACGACACGTCCAGAGGCCCATCTCTAGACAGAGAGTCTAGCGCGGCACTGATACAACGAGGTGGGTAACCAACCCTTACTCAGGTGTAGCAGGAGAAGGAGGGAGAACAGGGTACATTGGGCTAAAGTGGTGACTTGGAGAACCTGACCTTCCTTGTCCACAAAACTAATCTCAGATCTTCGGTCCAAAAATGGTAACTTCTTTAGTGGTTCTGGTAGCCTTTCATTTTGGAATACATAGCTGCCATTCCACAAAGCCAATCCAAGGATGAATGAACACGATCGCAATCACATGATTTGTTTACCAAAAAAAAAATAAAATGAAAAATTAGCTTTACAATCAATTATATAAGACAGCCAGAAAATCGACAGAGAAAAATTAAAACTTGCCTTTTATATTTTGAAACACACGTGTTGAAAAGGGCACTTCTCTTATTTTTATTTGTGCAAGATGTGTTTAAAAGTTACGGAGATGTGCAAGACATAACACAATGCAATAACGCAAGAAGCAACCACATACGGTACCTTTACTTCAGCAAATCATGTGCTGTCTGATAATCTCTGGATCATCCTCTGGTTTGTTTGTTTTTTTCCTCACAGCAAAGCTAAAAAGCTGGTTTTTCATGTGGCTTTGCAGCAAGTTAGCTTTTAATGAACTAGTCCTCGCTATGTTTTTCTTAGCACGTTGACTCAATTCCATGCTTGAAAGCAACAATTCATTTGGACAACTGAAGTGTATGGGATTTTATTCTAATATCACAAAGTGAAAAACTAGGATAGTCTCTTGGGCATATTGCTGCAGCCAAGTGTGATTCATGAAGCAATGACATTCTAGAATGGTTTCAAATCTTGCTATGTCCAAGGCTAATGGAATATGATGTAATCAATGGGGGCAGGGGGAGACTGAACCCCATTCCTGACTTTGTATCAATGCCAATAAAATTAGCAATCATCCAACAGAATCATGCAGACAGAAGAGAGTGTTCATCACTTTACATAAAACTTAAGTGATATCCAAGAAATGAAATGCAATACAGTTGTCCCTGATAGATCAACGGCAGAGCTTTTGAGAAACCCAAGTTTGGTGGTTTGGGGTCTGCTCATGATCCTCAAAGGTGACCAAGAGGGAGTCCGATGGGCCACTCTCACAAGAGGAAGATAAGGTGGGCGAGTCTCACTACATCCCCAGGCCTAGAGGCACAGGTCAGAGTACATCGCTAGTGAGGCAGCTGGCTATTGGTAGCGTTTCCACATATAACAGATTTTTGTGTCCTTACCTTTCCTCCGCAGAATTCTTTTCCACCCCTGAAAGAAAGGCTATTTTGACAGCAGTTTGGAATTTCTTTTGCTGCACCAAAAAAAGTGGGTAATAATGGAATGATGAAATGATGAGGTTTATTTCATGTTGAAATGGAGATGTTTCCATTTTCTAGGGAGGGAAAGAGGTTGTGGCATGGGCAGGGAGGGGCATCCAATTTATATTCCTAGATTTATTTGAATGAAATTAATATTTAAATAGTTTGCAATCCCTTGAAGTCACAGAGCGCCCTGGGATAGAAAAAAAATGTACCCCAGAACTTTAAAGCTTTTCACTAAGAATCTGCAAAACAGATCACCCACACAGTGATAACTCAGAATTGATTTTCTTAAAATGTTGCTTCTGTCTAACCTTATTGATAACAACAAATACAAGGAAACCTTTAGCAATAAGGAAGTCTTTTCGATGCACCAGGCAAAGCTTTCCAAGTCATCTGCCTATTCCAGGGTCCTTTCAAAAAGTCTAGGCTGACTCGTATGGAACAAAAGCCTCACCTGGGACTTCAGGAGAGAATCTTGCAGAGTGTCGAGACACAAAAAGTTTCAGTTCTTGGTCCAGGTTGCATTCAATCAGGTTTGTGTCCCATGATCGGATTCCTAAGGAGGGAGAAGAGAATTGACAGAGTTCCAGTTAGTCATTTCAGCGTGGTTTGGAAAACATCACTGTGACATTTCTCAGGCGGTAAGGGAGGATGTGGAAACTTCTTTTCTGAAGAGCTTGCTGGCTAGCAGTGGATGCCCACAAAAAGAGAGGGCTGGGGAGGTCTCTGTCCTAGGCCACAAGAGAGGGATAACTAGCAGTGTGGATTGAACTTGTGCCCCTCATAAAACGTAAATGCAGCTTTTCTGGGAGGGTAAAGAAAACAGTTATTAGGAAAATGACAGGCTTTACTCTAGGGAGGGGATGAATAGAAAGGACAGGAAGATGGTAAGTTCTGTAGCAGTTAAGAGGCCAACGGATAGATAATCTCAACCTTTCCCAGGGTCCCCTTGTAGGTGGCAAGAAAATGTAGAAAGAGGGTGTGGGGAAGTGGGAATTCAAGTCCAGGTCTTTGTTTTTCAAATGGGACTTTCTGCAGTGTGCATATGCAGTTTGTGTGCACATATGGTTTCTTTTCTTTACCCCCCTCATTTTGACTTGAGTTTCCCAACTCCTAGATATCAATCCAAAATTTGTGTGATCTGTCATAAGACTGGATCCCAGTCTTAAAGACTTCACCTCTCTGTCCTCTCCGCCTGATTTTATCGGACAAGCTTAGCGGGGTAGTTCTTTGGAAGCCGGGGTAAGAGGAACTTGGATGCACTACCTCCTTCATCTCCTCCTCTTCCTGTCTTTCTGAAGGGGGTGACCAGAGGGAGGGGGGCCCAGAGGACACAGAAGAAAGGAGAACTGGGGACCAAGCCAGGAAAAACTGGGAAACCAAAAAACTCTGGAATGTGTGTGTTTGTTTGTTTTTATGTATTTTTATACTTTCCCAAATAGGTAGCTCAGGGCAGAGCCATTATGTAGTATCCATGATTGTACCCTTGCATGGAGTACCTTCAATTGCCAGGAACAAACCTCTGGGACAGCAGTCATTTACTGCATACCTTCTAAAAGCAGGGTCTTGACCCTCTAGGTAAAATACAGATGATGAGCTATCTCTAAATAAACACCAGGTCATTTAATCATTTTTGCTGGTCATTAGTCATTCAAACAGACGTGGGGGTATAAATGGCAGTGCATTATTTAAACACCTGTATATCCTTAATGCTTATCTGTATTTACCCCCATTTATATCTTGTTCAGTCTTACCTTGCAAAGAAACTATGTATGTGTGTGTATACATATATACACACACACACATAACATACACACATACTTATACATATGTATATGTGTATCTTGTATTAATGCAAACGTATCACACAAAGATTCTGAAAACTCACTTGACTGCACACCTAGACTATCTTCAGATTATACACCAAGCATCTTTCTACCATAAGGAATATTTTCATAGATGGCTGTCCACTAAATAGAGGCAGACATTTATCATACAATAAATGGGATGAATTCAGGTGTGGAAGAGTTAACATTCCTAAAGAGAGGCTAAATTATAAGGGAGAATTTTATGGGTCTCCCTGGAAACATCAACAGCCTCAGCTTGCATTTGTGCTAATGGAGTATTTAAATGTTAACACGAAAGGCATGTTGAGATTTTGCAGATCTTTTTGGTGCAGAAATGATAAATGGGTTCTTTTTGTTTCACAGAAAGCTTGACAGGTTGAGAGGCCAGAATTCATTAGAATATTTTACTTCAATGTATACACTATATACTCGGCTAGTATGAACAACTGTCTAGCTCCTGTCTGAGCTGCTTAATTAGTAATTGTTAAGTGGATTCTCTTTGCTCCAGGTCTGAGCTCCACTTTGCCTCCCGGCTTGTCAAGCTGGGTCACTAAGTTAATAAGGAGACATATGTATTTAAATTAAATTCATGTGATTCTTCTGCCTTTGTTCTAGATTATGTCCAAATTGCTACATCATTTGAATGACTTCATCTTGGGTTTTAGGTAGACTCGCTGTTACATTGTTGTTTGCCATTTTCCCTTTGGCTTCAATTAACTTGTCATGACACGTGCAATTAAATGTTTGCTTGGTATTTCATAAACTCCTAGCTGTATGATTTATAATTTAGCAAGGAAAAACAAAACAAAACAGAAAGACCGGTTAGAAATTAATTTTTAAATTACACTAGGAAACAGTTCATAAAAATAATATTTCTCATTTTTACAACGCCAATGAAACAAAAACTTTAAGGTTCTCTTTTCAAAGGAGCAATTTCTAGCCAAATTAAGCCTTAACAATGTATAAGTCACTACTACCACTTACAAAATAAAGGCTACAATGGATTTGAAGGTTATTTTAATTGGAAAGGAAAATTTGGGAACAAGAACACTTAATATCCCAGTTTTAGAAATAACATACTTTGTAATTACTTTGTACCTTCTACTGGATAATACTAGTAAAGAGAAACAGTATTTCTGAAAGAAGGTTCACATTGCATTGAGTAGATTTGTATATCTTCACTCTGGGCCTAAGATGAAGCCAACAGTGGGCCCTCTAAAGTTCATAGGACAGAAAAATATCTTCTTTCTTTTATTTATTTATTTTTTTATTAAATTTTTAAAATGTTTTATTTATTTTTGAGAAAGAGAGAAAGACATCATGAGTTGGGGCGGGGGGGAGGTCAGAGAGAGAGAGGGAGATACCGAATCTGAAACAGGCTCCAGGCTCTGAGCTGTCCACACAGAGCCCGATGCGGGGCTTGAACCCATGGACCATTAGATCATGACCTGAGCCAAAGTCAGATGCTTAACCAACTGAGCCACCCAGGCACCCCACATCTTTTTTTGCTCTAGCTACATTCTTCCATCCCTGAATTCCTGGTAGGAGGGCTAGGAGGGTGCTGATAAAGAGTTTCAGAAGAGGCTTTCAGAAGCAAGTCATCCTGGTCTCTCATGGATACTATGGAGGCCAAGATCAATTCCTAGCCTTTTTTATAACAATGCCCCCAAATGCTCCAGCTCCAACTTCCCAAAGCCTTTACATCCCCAGCACTCTATGAAGATTGTGCCCCTTGCTGGCTTACCTAAGTTGGGGCAGAACAGACCTACCAAATGGAGGTCAACCTCCATTTATTAAACTTCTGGGCCCAGAGGACATCTGTCACTTCTGGGAAGCTGGCCTATGGCTAAGCACCTTGAGAACTCTCCCACCTAATCTGGGGCTGTTGCCCAGCCATGGAAGAGGGTACCATCACTGTCTTCAGGCCAGTCCTCCAGCCAAGGTAACTGAGGGTAACAAATGATCTTTCCATCTCAGTTCTCTGAATCCAGGGGAAAGCAGTGCACAAAAGGGAGACTAAAGTGCACATAAAACTTACAGATGGAAAAGGGAGAAATGAAAGGTTGTGTGTGTTGTGCTGGGGGAGGGGGGATGGAGGGGGGAGGTAGAGAGGGGTGGGTGTATGTTCATTACCAGACAAGACAGGGTGAACAATGAGGAACCACTTCCCCTTACTTTATACAGGTTATATCTTGCCAAGTTAGCAATCGTGTAAGCATTTTACATCATTATTTAATAAAGTCAACAATTTTTAAAAAGCACCTCCCATGTAAAGACTAAAATCTGTATTCCTAAAAGAGACAATAAATTGGAAAAAAAAATGACAATTCAATACATGTTGAAATGACACATGACTTCTAGCTGACAGTTATTTGTGCTTTGAAAGTTGATTTTCTTTCTATGAACTTTTTTTAGTTGAACCCTCTGATCCATAGTCTTTTGAATATTTTTTTGCTAGTACCTAAATGATAAACCTAACTATAAGATTCTATTTGTAAAACTATGCTAAAAAGTGATCGGAAGACAGATTTGAATCATAAACTAAAGAAACACAATTTTTTTGAAAAAAAGATAGGGGCTCCTGGGTGACTCAATCAGTTAAGCGTCCGACTTCGGCTCAGGTCATGATCTCGCAGTTCGTGGATTTGAGACCTGCATTGGGCTCTGTGCTGACAGCTCAGAGCCTGGAGCCTGCTTCCGATTCTGTTTCTCCCTCTCTCTCTGCCCCTCCCCTGCTCACACTGTCTCTCAAAAATGAATAAACGTTTAAAAAAAGATAAATTCAAGGTTTATTTGTCAAAGTTTTCCTATTTTTTCCCCTTGAGCAAACTTTCAATTGGCTTTTTTCTTTTTTTTACGCCAACAACTTGATGTTCAGAATATATATGTTGTGTATAATGCAGACAATACCTCTCATAGAAGTCATCACTTCAAAGCATTGGTGATAAATCATTTAGGTCTTCTGATAGCATCCCACATTGGAAACAAATAAAAGATGTGATTTATGACCATTATTGGTCTAAAAGTTAGAACTTATTTTAAAAAGTAAGCCTTTAGAGAAGATAAAGCATGAATCATCAATCTAATGACCTTAAGTTTGGGGACTGGCTTGGATTTCTGCATGGATCACAGAACCCTTACTAGATAATACCAATTAAGCTGTACAAGCAGAAATCCATCTGCCTTTTGACTTTGAAAAGTATAAAGATGAACATAATAAATTTAACACTCCACAACATTTATTCTAACCTCCCCCATGTGTTGGTTTTTCCCTGTAAAAATAAAATGAAAACTAAACCCCACATGTTTCCTGGGCTCCTAATTAATTCTCTCAGCCACCTTGAACTGAAAACAATCAATAAAGTAACATCACACAGTTACAATATCAGCTAAACTTACATCTAAAAATTCAGGGCAGTAGATGTTACACACACAGATCTTTTTATATATGTGTATAAACAAATCTTGCTGATTCCCAATGTTAACTAGTGGAAAGTTAGACTATTTCACAGTAATTGAAAGCACCAAACTGACACTTAGTATGCCTTCTATGTCTTGATTCCTGTAAAGCAATAAAATGAAGCAGCGCAAACTCCTTTCACAAGGCTCTAGAATTCAGTTCGCAAGGTATGGATGCATGTAGTCTACGTTCTTAAATTAACTGGAGAAGTGTGGCTCTGCTAAAAATGGCAATGGCTATTAAGTCTAAGTTGGGGGCTAATAGGAAGAGGGTGAAATAGGTGCCCAGGAAGGCATGTGGTGGTAGCAACAGTGGTCCAGCATAAAACTGCATAACTAACAAAATGAAGCTAGACCCTGTCCAATTGTTTCAGACTTGAAAAGAAATGACCAAACCTTACATGGTACATTTTGAATACAGTTGACAAAATGAGGGACCATCTCTCTTCCTCAGTTTCAAAAAGCATTTCCTAAGCAGACACATCGGGATGTTCAGGCCTGTGAATTTACTGTATTACCACCATCTTCCAACAGATTTTATTTTCTAGGCTCCCCAAAGAACGCTCAGTAACCAGGGGGCAAAACTGCAAGTCACCACGGTCTCCAAATCCACAGAGCATCAGTTTAAGACGAAAGGGGAGAAAGGGGAAAAAGGAAGCAAGCGTAACAAATGCTGAACTGCATTGCCAGCCAGCAGCACACAATCCAAGCGGAACCCCCTGGAGCATCTCCGTCTCGCTTCACACAACGCGGCCCGCAGGCACCAGCGACAACAGCAGTGGTATCAGAGTGACCTCTGGAGGAGGCCCAGCTGGGACCTGCAGGCGGAGGCAGCAGCGTGTCAGGCAGAGGGAAACAGAGCCAGCCTGCCCTGTTGCTAAGTCATCCCAGCCTGTCTGAAAAGCTAGCGGAGCAGTGCCACTTAGTACCGCCAGGCCCTGTAGCTTGAGCTGCATCCGAGATCCCAGGACCCAGGAGAGCAATCTCCAGAGGAGAAGCAGCATCTGTTACCGCAAGTGAGGAAATGGCTCTGCTCCCCCACTTGATTGATTGTTAATGGGATCGATACAGCCATTTTGGAGGAGTTTTGTGCAGAAACCCGACCAAATCGGGGAATTACAAATCAGGAAGGCACAGTGATTGAGAAGAGACCATAAGGGGGCTTCTGGGATTCCAGTAATGTCCGTTTCTGGATCTGGATGACACAGATGTGTTCCTTTTGTGAAAATTCACTGAGCTCCTCATTTAGGATTTGTGGCTTTTCCTCTCTACGTATTATTTCAATAATTTTTTCATTTTAATGTCAAAAAGACTATTCTGAACTTTTTTACTGCGTGCTACTAGTGTGAAAAGGAGTAAAGACAGCACTTCATAGCAGTACTTGGAGGCATCTTTCCACAAACAGAAGAGGACTGAGTAAACCCCCCCGTCCCCCCCCCCCAGGAATGGGGTACTGAAAGGGTGACCGGCAGAATAACAAAGCAGGAAAATAACTGTGGTCGAATGTGATTGCTGAAACACCTCCCTGCATGGGGTGCTGCCCACAAGTGGATGACAAAGACAAGCTGGGAAAAAACGTGTCTGATCTTCCTCTGATGTTGGCTTGCCCTGCACTAGCATCATGACAGGGCCAGAAAAAGAGTGGCAGTGCAATGCTGGCACTTGTGTCACTTGTGAATGACGTGACCTTGAGCGGATCCTCTTATGGGTCCTGCCTCTCTGGGTCCCCATCTCTAAAATGGGGGTGATGGTGCTTCTCCCGGCACCACATTGGGTGGTTACGAAAATCTTATAGATAGCAAGCCACCTCCTAACGGATTATTCCCCGGCAATGGTGTGGACAGTAATTGTTTTTTACCCAAAGTCATTGATTCATAGAGCAGCCACACCCAAAGTCAGTACGTATAAAATTTTCCAAGGAGAAAATGCGCAAACTAAAATCAGATTAAAGGCCTATCGTTGAAAATGAAGGGGTTTTTGAGATGCTCAAATAAGGCATTTCAGTACTGAATCTCTTATTCTTGACTTTTTTTCCGAATAAAATAACACGACTGCATTCTGCTCCTTTTTTTTTTTTTTAAGCTGAAAGGAAAAAAATCAGTGCTTTAAAGTTAAACAAAAGAACCAGGTCTGCAACTCCAGGCCCCACCCTGCAGCCTTTTGTTCTGGGGACAAGGAGCCGTTTCCAAATGCAGAGGCAGAAAACAAGCGCTAATTTTTTCATCGAAAATAAGGTCTTTCTTTCGTCTTTTGGGGGGGGGGGGCGCCGGGAGCGGGGAGCGAAGGCTGCGTGAACGCCCTTTGTCCGCCTCGGGCTGCCGTAGAGACCGCAGTGCGGACTGCACCACGCCCACCAGCCGGTGTCTCCAGGCAGAAACGCTTCAGCACCACCCCAAGAGAATAGAGCGCGGGCAGGGGCTACGCAGGGACCTGGCGACGTTTGTCACGGACGAGGGGAGGTCTGGGACACAGGAGGGGAAAGCAGAGGCTGAGACCAGAGGTGCCTGCTCGGGAGGACTTAGAGCGCAACAAAGCAGGGCTGAGGGAGAGGTGGGGGTACGCAGCACCAAGCCCGGGGCCCCGGCGAAGCGCACGCCCGGCGGACCGCGCCCGATGGGGGCGCCGCAGTGCGGGGGGCAGGTGCGGCGAGCAGATGGGGGCACTGCGGCAGCCCGGGTGGGGCTGAGGGGCGGGTCGGCCCGCGCGCCCGAGGCTGCGCCCGGCGGGCCCTCACGGCCCCGCCCAGGGTTCTAGGCAAACCGCTATTCGGCCTCTGCAGAGCGCGCTCCTGGTGCGCGCACCGGGCTAGGCGCTGGCCCTACCCGCTAACCGCCCCCCCCCCCCGAGCCATCACTACCAAGGCTGAGACTTTTGAAAGAAGCCCCACCCCGCAACTTGGGGTCCCATTGTCCTTTCTGAAATCTGCAAGCAGGGTCCCAGGGGCGGTGGCGAGGCGGCGCCGACTGGGAATCAAGCGCAAGAGGTTCTCCATCTCTGCGTTCGGGGGGGGGGGGGGGGGGGGGGGGGGGGGAACGGGCGTGGCCCCAGGACTAGCCTAGTCATTGCAAGTAAAGAACAGATCGGGAGGTTTTAAGCCAGAAAAAGCATTTCTCCGGGACTGAGGTGGCTGTGTTGAGAATGATTCCCATGCGGGCCCTGGCACATGGTGCTTCAGCCTCGGATCTGTCCGCAAAGGGAAGAGGGGAGTCCCAGCATTTTGCGGGTGACAGAGGAGGACTGAATGGGGTGTCTGCATCAACTCCCCACCCCCGCTTGCTCCCTGCGGTTTGGGCTTTATTGTGGCCGCCGCTCCTCTGACACCTGCATTTCATTTAGCAGGAGAGGCGGTGGCCAGCCAGGATCTGCAGACCTAGCCTGATGACAAATCCCTCAAGGTTAGGAGAGACACTTCCACTGGGTCCCAAATCTAATAATTCACATTTTTCTCCCAAGTGAGCCCAGGAAAGAGTCCGGACTGAGTGCGGGAGGTGGAGGGGAGAGGTGGGGGTGCGGGGCGCGCCAGAGGAGGAGGGCAGCCGTCGCGCCCTGGGTGGGGTCGCGTTTGCCAGTCTCCTCGAGCGCGTCCCCTGGGGACGCAGGGCCTCTTACCGAGTTCGATGTTGCCGATGGCGCGCCGTAGGTGCTCCTCGGTCACGATTTCGCCGACGACCACCAGCAGGTAGAACTTGCTGTCGAGGAAGCGATGCGACAGGCTGGGCGAGGTGGATGCCGCCGGGTTGGCAATGCTGCCGGACGGCTCCGGCTCGGCGGCTTCCACCACCACGGTCGCCATCCTGCCGGCCCGCTATGCCTCGGCGAAGTGTCCCGCTCCCGCCGCTCCTCTCCTCTGCGGCAGGAGAAAGGATTATCTCCGAAGGTGCTGTCTCCGCTCCGCCCCCTGCGTCCCCCCTCCTCCTGGCGCGGCGCGCCGCCTCCCCCTCCGCCCTCTCCAAGAGCGCGCGGCGGAGAGGAGCGGGGAGTGTGAGAGGGCGGGGAGGCGGCGCCGCTTTTATATGGAGACTAGGCTCGGAGCCGGGAGGAGGAGGAAGAGGAGGAGGAAAGGACCACCCGGCACATCCTCACGCGGTGGCTGCCTCCGCTCTTCCAGCCGTTGGCCCAGGGCTGATGTCATCTGCAGCAAATCATCTCGCCCGCGGCCCGGAAGCTGGAGGAAAGAGGTGTGCGGACAATGGTCAGGGCAGGGCCGCGAATCAAGGGCCTGGGGGACCCTAAGGGCCCCCGCTGCAGCGGTGAAGGGAGAAAACACTCCCCATCTACACCCCCCACACACCCATTGCTGCAGGCACCCACCCCGCTTGTGCCGGAGCACGGGATGGGTTTCCATTATCACCGTGGAGATATTTACCTTGTATGAGGTGCACAAGTCAGGCCTCTGACTAGTGTCCCCGCCTGTGATGAAACCAGATTCTCAGGTGCTGTGGGAGCACAGCGGGCGTAGTGCTGAGGGTACGCCGCCCAGGAAGATGGAACCTGTCTTTTCTTTGACCTTGTGGACTTGAGAAGACGTATTTACCAATATTTACCACATTGACTTAATACATCAAAAATGCAAAACGTATGCCTAGTATTGTTCAGGCTTTGGACACTACTCTGCCAAGTCCCAAAGGTAAAAAATAAAAAGTACTGGCTTCATGGTACTCACGGAAAAGAAGAGGAATGCATTTTTCTAGATACAGATTTCTTTTCTTAATATGCCGAACAGATAGCATCAGGCATAACAAAGAGTAAAGAGAAGATACTGTCTTTACCCCAGCAGGATTGCAGTGACTATAATGTACTTTCAGTTCCCTAGGGAACACACAGGCAAAATTATTTCATGTGACAAAGCTGTCTTTAAAAATATATGTAGCATTGGGAATCTTTACTGCCTTTGTGTTTAGAACACATTAAAATGTTTAAAGGCAGCCCATCTACAGCCATTTCTCACAGATCTACTGAATATTGCTTCTGTCCCAGGAAAGGAGTCATGGTGGTAAAGAAGGGACAAAATCTACCTACTATTAAAGACTGAGAGATTAGAGACTTAAGAAAGAGGACTAGATGGAAATTAGGCTGGTCAGTATAGTTTTTAACACTAGAAAGCATATTAGTAAAAAAAAAAAAATCACCTGGATATGCTAAGATTTCCAAATTAGCCCATTGTCTTACCTATTAACCAACATGACTTATTGGTGATACACTCTGTGCTCTTAGCTCTTTCCTGACACCAGGGCATGAGAGACCTGGTAGGCAGCCAAAGGCTATTCCTTTCTCATGCCAGTCTGGTCACTGGGGAATAAGATACCATCTGGCCCATAGCAGTTGAAGTCTGTGACAAGCTCACTGGTGAGCCACATTCACCAGTGAACAGTGACAAAGAGTCCCCAGGTGAGAGTAACAGATCGCTTCTTGGTCTAGAGAAGGCGTTCACCTTCTGTTAGGGAGGTAAAGGCAGCACCAAAGCCCATAATTGGGAGGTGAGTTCTGGTAAGGCATTGTTTCCCAGAGGTCAGCTATTGGAGTCCGCCATAATCTATTGATTATCCTCCCTCTCTCTGAACCACCATTACTTTTATTTATGTAATCATTATCTTTGGGTCTATTCCTTTTACTTGGGTTTATTTGTTAATGAAGTTCTTTGCTCCCATATAAATGGTAACACTAATAAGACTTGTAAATAGGAGGTATACCTAGGAATAAATGTAATGAAAATAAGATAATGTGATGTACCTTCTGCTATACACTGTTATTTGAAGACTCTGACTCTGAAGTGTACTCTCTCTAGGTTAAAACCAGAGATTAGCAAGTGTCAGAGAGGTGTGAAGATACACTACTACCTAACTGAGTTGTTCGCCATGTCATAACAGAAGTTTGCATGGAAATAGCAGAAGAGCTTTATTACGGTGTGAGTCAGCCCAATTAAATGCCATGACCATGAACCACCGAAGTCATCACCCAGACTTTGAAAAATAGAAACATAATGACAGAAAACAGACTAGAGATGCTGACTGGTACTATACAGCTTTGTAACTTTGGGCAAGTGACTTCTGCTGCTTGATCTTTGGCCTCTTCATTAATATACTGGAGAGAATAATATCTTTATAAATGTGTGGGTAACTTTGTAAGAAAGGTGTAAATACCTAATACTGTGATTGAAATAATAAGCATTTAAGGCATGGTTGATGAATATACCTGTTTTGTCCCAGTTTGCTGGACAATGGAGTAAAACCATTCTCACAAAATGTGTAGGCAAAGGGCATCTGGGTGGCTCAGTCAGTTACATGTGTGACTCTTGATTTTGGCTCAAGTCATGATCTCACAGCTCGTGCGTTCAAGCCCCACATCAGGCTCTGTGCTGACATTGTAGAACCTGCTTGGGATTCTCTGTCTCCCTCTATCTTTGCGCCTCTCTCTCTCTCTCTCTCTCTGTCTCCTCTCTCAGTATCTCTCTCTCAAAATTAAATAAACATTTTTAAAAATGTGCAGGTGACATCAAGCTGGGCATAACTACCAATGCCTCTGAAAGGAGAATAGAATGTTAAGTAACACTACAAACTAGAAAAGTAGTCCCCACCCATCCCATCTCTTTTGAAAATGGAAGTCTAAACCATATATATATATATATATGGTTATATGGTTTTATATTTATATTTATATATATATATATATAAGGGTGCCTGTGTGGCTCATTTGGTTGAGCATCCAACCAGCTCAGGTCATGACCTCAAGGTTTGTGAGTTCAAGCCCCACATCAGGCTCTGTGCTGATGGCTCACAGCCTGGAATCTGCTTCAGATTCTGTGTCTTCCTCTCTCTGCCCCTCCCCTACTGGCGCTCTGCCTCTCCTTCAAAAATAAACATTAAAAAACATTTTAATGCTATTTTATATATGTATACATATATATATATCCTTCCTACCTCTTTTAGATAAACAACATATGTACACACAACTTTTCTATCTTGCTTTTTTCACTTAGTATATCCTAGAGATAAGTTCATAACAGTATAGATTAATATTTCTCATCCCTTTTATCGCTGCATGGTAACGCATTGTCTTTACTATAATTCATTTAACCAGTCCATTATTGATTGGCATCACTGAACCATTTCCAGTTTAATTTGTATCATAAACAATAGTTATAATTGTTGTTTTGTCCTATGTAGTAGCAATGGTCATCTGACTTGCTTCAGAATATCCAGTGGGACCCTCATCCAATCCATCCTTCACACCAGGCAGGGTGATCTTTTCTGATCTGGTCATGTTACTCACCCCTGCCTGAAACTCTTAAGTGGCTCCATGTTGTTTTTAGAACAAAAATCGAACTCCTTAGCATGGCCTACAAGGCCCCACAAAGTCCGGCCCCTGTTTATCTCCCCATCTTTATCTAGCTGCCCCCTCATCCTCACTTTCTAGCTTCACCTACATGATGTAATATCAGAGCAGGCTACTTCTTCTTTTTTTTAATTTTGGTTTTTGTTTTGTGTTGATTTTAGAGAGAGCGTGCACACACACAGTAGAGGGAGAGAGAGAGAATCTTCAGCAAGTTCCCGACATGGGGCTCCATGTCACTACTGTGAGATCATGACCTAAGATGAAATCAAGACTCAGATGCTCAACCAACAGAGCCACCCATGTCCCCAGAGCATGCTACTTCTTTTCAATTATTATTTTTTAATGTTTTATTTATTATTTTCAGAAAGTGTGAACAGAGGAGGGTCAGAGAGAGAGCACAGAATCCAAAGCAAGCTGTCAGTCAGCACAGAGCCCTGATGTGCTAGGCTCAAACCCACGAACTGCGAGATCATGACCTGAGCATAAGTCAGACCCTCAACCAGCTGAGCCACCCAGGCACCCCAGAGTGCACTATTTCTAAAACCAAGACCTGTCCCTCCCTTTCACCAGCCTAGAGCGCTTGTGGTTAACTTCACTAGTTAATGTCTGTTTGCCATGTATTTGGCATCTCAACTATTACCTCCTTAGGGAAGCCTTCCTTGACCTTCCTTACTAGGTCAGTTAACCATTTTATGTGCACTTATATGCACTCAGCTCCATGCTCCCCTTTTTATTTGTAGCCCTTTCATCAATGTAATTTCATATTTTTATATGTAATTTAAAAAAATTGTCTTCACCACTGAACTCTCTTCTCTATGGAGGCTAGAACCATGTCTGTCCCTTCACACTCGCACATAACCATCAACTCAGTGCCCAGCAGAGAGCATGTGCTCAATCGAAGCAGACCAGTGACTTGTACTCCATTGTCCGGCACACTGGGACATGAGTAGTTTCTACAAGCCACGTTACTGTGCTAGGCGCTTCAAGTATATTGCTCCAGTGACTTCTCACAAACTTCTTAAGAAGTTGGTATTGTTATTCATCATTTTGATGGCCTTAAGGTGTCTTTTACATTTCTCATCTTGGTAGTCTGTATCTTCTGTCTTTTTTTCTTGTTCATTCTTGCTAGGGGGTTATCCATGTTGATTATCTTTACCAAAAAAACTACATTTGATGTTACTAATCATTTTCTATTTTATGTATGTGCAAGTGTATTTCCATCCATCCTGTTCTTAGTCATCCTATTTCACTCCTTCTGATTTCTTTGGGTTTTATTTTACTTCCAATTTTAGCCTCTTGAGAAGCTCAGACAACTGATTATCAGTTTTTCTTCTTTTCTCATATATGTAATAAAGACCATCCATGTCTAAGTCCTGCCTTGACTACGCCCTATACATATCGATATGTTGTGTTTTCATCATATTCACTTTATATTTTCTAATTTCATTGTGATTTCTTTTTTTGCCACAAGTTATTATTTTGCTAGTTGGCCAGTGAAAAACTGACGTGCAGAAAAGTTAGATGATCTTCTCTAAATCA